TGTGAAGCTACAGGTTCTCCACCTCCCAGAATTGAATGGTACCGAGCCCAAAAACAATCTGTTTCCATCCCGGTTAACCAGGAAGACAGATGTCTCCTAGTTAACACAGATAAAGAAAACGCTGAAGGAGACTACATCTGCCGGGCCACCAGCAGATTAGGATTGGCAGAGACAGTTACCACGGTGATTGCAACGAGATTTATTGGTATGACATTAGTTTTGATAACAGCTTACCTATGTCTTGTGTCAACGAGTTCTTGTCATAATAATTGCAGAAGAACAACTAACCAGCAGCTAAAGTAAAATTTAGTTTATTAATTGAGAAAGCTGTTCAGAAGAATTTCCATAAAGCTGATACGTGCCCTACAAAGAATTATCTCAAAAAATAATCGTATTATGTTTAACGCAGTAGTTCTCGAGTTCTTTGGTTTATTTTACAGTTGCTGATTGTAGACCTGCTTTTGAATTGGTAAACTGAACTGTCACCCAACTTCCCTCCGTATATACCACAAGTTGCATTTGCCTTTCAAAGTCACTCACAATTTGATTCTATTCTTCTAGGTATTTCATGTCAGATGATTCGATGGGATCAACCTGGTATATCTGACGGGATCTACTATATCCATGATAAAAGCACTAAAACGACCTTTGCTGTAAGTATGAACTATGATCAATGGAAGACGACCTGTTTTCCTTCTACGAATCAGCGAGGGAACCAAGCTAATGCATGTAAATCAGTTCAATGTTCAAGAAAGCAAAGGCTTCAGCTCGTTCTATACTATTGGCCATTTCTGCGATACTTTTTTCGTCCATTCAAATTCGCTACAGCTAAAAAAAAAACTAACAATACAACTGCAAGATTCTCTCCGACATTCGGGTGGAAAACAAGAACAGTTATGAAATACGAAAAAGTACAAAAAAGTGAAGTCCTCGGCTAATCTATATGAATTCGAGTTACGCCAAAGCCAGCAGGACCATGAAAAAATTTAAAATCTTAAGTCACCTTACACCACCCAACGGTAGGAACTTCCTGAGTAGGGGCACTAGTCTGCGTAGTCTGCGGTTTTGTGTGCGTTGACTGTGTGCGCTAAAGCGATGGGCGGCAAATCCGCGTGAGGTTTGGAAAGGGGTACAGTTTTAAACTCGCACGCTGAAAATGGGGTGGTTCTTCAGTCTTTTTTCCGTTCAACACCTCAACGGAAATTTTAAGGTGTCAATCAAATGTTAGGGTTATATCACAAGGGAGTTAAAAGGAACAATTAAGAATACTTTTCGCGAATTAGGGACATGTTAATAGCGAACCTAAGCAAAAAAAGGTGGATGAAAACAAACCCTGAGCTGTTTTTTTTTTTTCTGAATCTGCGTCACGGAGAGAGCGAAAGTTTATTGTAAGGAGAGCTTTGGTCAACGAGAGGATGTTGAAGCCATACCACCCACCAGCTTTAGCAAGAGTATGATTTTAACGCTTATCGCTCTGAAGAGAAAGGAAATACATAGTATTTTGCTGGACCTTCGGATGATAAAGTGGTGAATAAATGATCGCCGCACGTGAAATCTTATCAAAGAAATTGCTGTAAAGAAGCATGAAAAAAAAAAGTTAAGCTTTTAAGGTGAATCAAACTCGAGCCTCCCAGGTACTATTTTGGCTCTATTCTACCAACTGAATACCGAAGCCACACACAAGACGCTAGACAAGTTTTACTAGATTCCTAATTCATTTAAAGGAATTGCAAAAATAAGCCAGGGAAAAATGCAGGCTTTGACAGAATTCAAACCTGTGACTCCCAGATACCAGTTGGATGCTGTTAAAAACTAACCCACGAGGCCATAAATTGGAAGCAAGGTTTAATTTTGTAGGTTAATCGTTCAAATCTCCCCAAAGTCTGATTTGTTAACTGCAGTTTGCTTAATTGCAACCAACCTGTGGGGGTCATGGCTCTACCTCTGTGAGAAAAAATAGCCGGTTAGTTGCTACAAGCCGTTATTTGATTGGTTGCGTCAGATGGATATCTAAATATGTGTCCAAGGGATTGCCGAATAAAGCATCGCTCACTCCCATTTCAGAAAGCTTCGCCGCTCGTCGGCTAATGCAAGTAAAACCGTGAAGCACGAACGAAACCGACAACAATGCAGGCTTGTAGTGTCTAAAGGCGAAAAAGTATGCCACAAAAGGCAGCCACGAAGGCGAACAACAACAGTACACACAGTACACGTTTCTTTAATAATCTTCCCGCGCTCACACTTTCCCGGATGTATACTTTTACATAAACAACCGCTGTCCTAGTATACTACATTCCCTCTCTTTCTTCGCTTAGATAGTTGACCTCGAAAGACAGAAACATTACAAACTTCCACTTTGTTTAGACACCGTAAAAGTTCAGTTCAAATGCAAATGTTCAAGACAAAAGTCACGCTAAACACAATTATAGCCTTTGCTATTCGGCTCATAAAACAACGTTTCAATGTCACTCATGCAATAACAACGAACAGTAATATGAAAATGCCAATGTCACTAGTTTTAATACAGAACGTAGCCACTCAGAGCCTTCGGACGGCTCGTAATTCTGCCGGATCTTCTCACATGCTGCTCAGCTGTAGATACAGTAGAAGGTACATCTTCTGGTGGTGATTCAGCCATTGGTACTTGATCCTCTGCCACAGGTGGCGTCTCAAATGACTTAGGTTCAGTCCGTGGTTCAGCGTCCTGTTTGGCGCTTTCTGTTCTTCTACATCTGGCGTATTGAAGGGCTTAATGTGCTGAAGGTTGCGTTTGTGCTGGACACCTTGAGGCGATCGCAACACAACCTGGTCCCCTTGTCGAAATATCACCTGATATGGTTCCTCCTCATAGCAAGGGGACAGCCTATTTTCTTTCTTCTTCTCAAGGAGAACACTGTCTCCTTCTCTCACATTTCGATCTCTGGCATGGAACGTCTTGTCCACATAGTCCTTGCTAGACTGCTTTCTCTTATTGTCCCGATCACGGACGGCTTGATCGCTCACTTCTACCTCCTCCTATTCAACATTGACTAGCTCAGGCATTTTAGTTGTTAGCTTTCTCCTAAACAATAACTCGGCATGACTCTTTCCTGTGGTTGAATGTGGCGTGGACCTGTTCGCCAAAAGGAACCTGTTTAGCTCCTCTCTCCAATTCTTTCCTTCTCCATGGGCTGCTCTCGTGGACTTCAGAAGCGACCTGTTTTGCCTCTCTACCTCACCATTAGCTCTTGGTCATAGAGGTGTTGTGTAACGGTCTTCAATCCCCATTTCATTCAAGTAATCTTCTACTTCTTTAGATACAAGATTTAAGCCATTGTCGGTACGCAGACCTTTAGGCAACCCATGTCTTGCAAATTGGGCATCCAAGTAATGAATGATGGTTTGGCTGGAAGTTGTTCGGATAACATCAACTTCTATCCACCGGCTGTAATAATCAACGAGAACTAAAAAATGTTCTCCTGAAGGTAACGGACCCATTAGATCCACAGCTACTGCTTCCCATGGTTGGTTGGGTAATGCTGTTGACCTCAGTGGTGAGGGTGGAACGTTCTTTGTACCCATCTGGCACCCGTAACACTCTCCACATCTTTTCTCGGCATGACGATCCATAGCAGGCCACCATACCTTCGTTCTAAGTCTCTCCTTTGTCTTTATGACTCCTTGGTGCCCGTCGGGTGCCAAACTGACGAATCTCCTGCGGAGTGCTTAGGGTATAACAATTCTTGTCCCCCGGAGAATTACATGCCCAATAAAAGTCAACTCATTGCGCACTGGCAAATACTGCTTTGGGGCATTGTCCGATTTCTCTTCGATGAGGCAATTCCTGATTGCTTGCAGCTCAGAGTCTTGTGCTGAGACTTGTTCAGTCTCTTTGAATCTCAATGCAGCTGGGACAGCATGTAGAGCTATCATGCGTATATATCCAGCATCTTCCACGGACTTGTCTGAAGCAGGTATCTTCGTCAGTCGGGAAAGGGCATCTGCGATGTTTTTTCTTGAAGGCACGTAGCAAACTTGATAGTTGTACGGTTGTAAACGCATAACCCAGTGCTCTATTCTGACTGAAGGTTTAGACCTCCTTGAGTAGATGACTTTAAGTGCTTCATGGTCTGTCACCAGATCAAACTGTGGAAGCCCGTACAAGTAGAGGTGGAAGCGTTCACACGCCCAGACCAAGGCTAGTGCTTCCTTTTCTGTCTGACTATAAGGACGCTCCAATTGACTCAAACTACGACTAGCATAACAGACGGCACGGCTTTACCCATTCTTTTCTTGCACCAGCACGGCGCCAAGCCCAACAGGACCTGTATCAGCAATAACACGGGTGGGTGTGTCCTTATCGAAGTAAGCTAGGACTGGTGTACTTTCAACTAGACTCTTCAATCTCTGATATGACTGCTCCTGCTCCTTGCCCCACACGAACAGTTCCCCTTTCCTTGCAAGTTTTTTGAGGGGATCAGTAGTGGTAGCAAAATCTGATATAAACCTGGCACTGAATCCAACGAGCCCCAAGAAGCTACGGACTTCTGAGGGTGTCTGAGGCTGACTTGCCTCTGCAACTGCTCTGACTTTTTCCTCCGTTGGGCCGATGCCATGTTTGCTCACAAAAAGACCCATGAATACCACTTTAGTCATTCGGAAAGTGCATTTTTCAGCATTCAAAGTCAGCTGCTTCTCACTAAGACGTTGCAACACACTGTGTAACTTCTTATCGTGTTTCTCAGTGTCTCGACCATGAAATATAAGATCATCTGCTATGTTTGACACCCCTTGTAGACCTGCCATTGACTGGGTGATGATATGCTGGTACTTCTTCGGTGCGGCTTATACACCAATACTCAAACGTTTGTGGCGGAATATACCATTATGGGTGGCGATAGCAGTGATATCCCTTGAATCAGGATCCAACTCAATTTGGTGAAAACCCCACCTTAAATCTAACTTCGAGAAAACACCACTCCCATTAAGACTTTCAAGGACTTCATCTGTGGTTGGTATAGGCAATCTTTTTCAAATAATGCCCTCGTTGGCTCTCTGCATATCGACACACAACCTTATGTCCCCGGACGGTTTGAATTAGGAGCAACAACGACTGGCCTTACCCACACCGTAGGCCCCTCGACTTCCTCAATTATGTCCTTTTCAAGGAGTTCGTTAACCTTGGCAATTACTTTGTCCTTTACAGAAAAACGTACTCGTTGCATTTTTTTAAACACTGGAGTTGCACTGGGGTCAATGTAAACTGATAATATTTAAGCTTTCCAATTCCCTGGAATACACTGGGGTATTTTGCTTTGAGTTTTCCCATGAAGGTATCATCAACAGTGTTACAGTCTCCTGTCCCGAGAGTTCCCGAGAGATCCACACGAAGGAATCCAAGATCTGTGGCGGACGAATATCCCAGCAAACAACGCCCAGATTCAACAACAATGAAATCTGCCACAACCTTTGCTTTGGGTACGGAAACTTCTGTCTGAAACTGGCCCTCAATTTTAAGTTCTCGACCCCCATAAGCATACAATCTCTTCAGACAAGGTTTTAATTCAATCTTGAGCCCCTGATACTTAAGTTCCTGCAGTGTATCTTTACTAATGAGGTTACTTGCAGAACCTGAATCAATCAACACATCTCTGCTGATTCCCCCAATCTTCACTGAGATAACGGGTTCAGAGGAATTTGACATAGCACATGTCTGTTCTTCTATAGTAAAAGCAAAACTGTCATCCTCACCTGACTCGTTACAATGACCCTCAACATGATTTGCCTGTCTCCCCTTACCATGACGCTGCTGTCTGCCTCCCCGTTGTTGGGTGTTACCTTGTTTTCCAGGCTTCGAGTTCCTTCCCCCTTTGCAACAGCTTGCATAATGACCATATTTACCACACTTGCTGCACTTGCGACCTCGGGCTGGACAATTTGTACTTTGAGCAAAATGACCTTCTTTACCACAGTTGAAACAAACGCTTTTCCCTTTGTCTCCACGCCCAGGACGTTCTTCAACTGCATGAGTACCTGCTCCAGGTTCTTGGCTTGGCATGACCATTTGACTTGCCTGCTCGTGTGAGGCTTCCCACTTTCGAACTTTATCCATTGCTGCTTGCAGAGTAATATTAACGACTTCCAATAGCTTCTTCTTTAGCTCAACATTAGGCAACTTTTCAATCAATTGATCCCGTAAATTTTCTTCCAAAGTTGGACCAAAATTACAATGACGAGCTTGTTTACGTAAACGAACCATGAACTTATCGGCGGTCTCTCCCTTTGTCGGCGTAAGTTGACGAAAGACATGACGCTCGTACGGTACATTGTCCTCGGCTCGAAAATGAGCATCCAACTTTCGCAGACACACCACATACTCATTATCCTCGTTAGCATTCAGTGGTCCAGGATCTGGAATATCTTCGTAAATATCTTGTACTTCCATACCTGCTAAATGAAGTAACTGAGCTGTTTTCCGAGAAGGATTCATAATGCCCTTGCCATCAATGTAATACTGATACGATCGTTTTCCCTGTCGCCATCGTTCCGCGACCTAACAGGAAGAACCTGTAAAATCTAGAGGCGAAAGCGCTCTTTCTACAGCTTCCACCTCCTCGTCGCCAATTTGTAGTGGTCTAAAAGCGAAAAAGTATACCACAAAAGGCAGCCACGAGGGCGAACAACAACAGTACACACATTACACGTTCTTTAATAATCTTCCCGCGCTCACACTTCCCCGGATGTACGTTTTTACATATACAACCGCTGTCCTAGCTTACTACAAGACTATTGGCATGGGGCAATTTCAGACAGGTGGTTGCCTGACTCGCCGTCAATATACTAGCTGTATACTGTTTCGAGCCGACTGGTCCTCATACAGAAAAACTAAACATGTTGGCCGATACGTTTTGACTTGTCAAGCTTAATGTCTTGCGTGCTTATTTCAGCGATGGAAATAGAATTAAAATAAAAAGTAAAATTTGAATGGTTGAAAAAAATATTTGAAAAATTCTCTTTTTCAACGGTTCGGTATCCGTTAATCACTTTTATTTTTCTTTTAATATTACTGTAGGTCTACTGTGACATGACAACAGACGGTAAAGGTTGGACTCTTATTGCCCGATTCTCAAATTATGATATCAAGAACTGGATGGCTGATACCGGATATTGGTGGTACGACAAGAAAGTTGCCACGGGAAAGACAAATAGTCCCTTCACAAACGCTGACATGATCTCACCAGCATTTTGGTTGATCAGAGGAAGCGAATTTAAGATCACGCGCAGTGACGACTCCAGCCACACCCCTCTGTTACAGACCACAGGTGGCTGTTTGGGTGGACAAACATTCCGATCGAAAATCACAAGTTATGGCGACTTTAGAAATGGGAAAGTCTGGGCCAGTAATCGGTGTCTGGGAAATTGTACGGTTCAGTATGGCGGACAGTACAAGTCAACAGACGGGTTTCAACAGGCTGAGTGCAATGGAAACATCCAAAGCGCCAACAAGATCGGCTTCTGGTGTGACGTGGGTTATGGTGATGGATCAGTGATGATGATTGGTGGAGGAGGACAAGAATGTGATCGTGCAGATCATGGGATTGGAATAACAGAAGCTGACGATGCCTCTTTTGATGACAAAAAACAAAGTGAACAAGATTTTGGTTATGGTAATGGTGGTGGTAGTCGCATTTCAACCAGTAAATCCCAGTCCTACTCGTTGAACCTATGGATTCGTTAAACATATTTAGAGCATTACTTTTCAGACTTGGTTTAGACCAGGAGAACTTTATAGAGGATGACGTTATTCAATTTATGTCACATTGTGATCCAAGTTAGATGAACATTTTAAAATGGTCTGTAAAAGCGCATCTTTTTCCTCTTAAAGCAAATATAGAATAACTTGACCATCTCCGCAGCAACAAGACTAAGATCCTTAAACATCTTTAGATTCTCACTGGCAACAAATTAATTCCCAATAGGATTTTTCTGCGAAAATCAAATTAAGTAGAATGGATTTAAGTCAGACTCGTAACTCATCGATCTTTTTAGGAAATGTGAAGTATTCATTAATTTTTTTTTAGTAATGTCAGATATAAACTATGCAAGATGTGTTTAATGTTTTAACCGGATAGTTTATCAAGAAATTTTTCTGAAGCTACGTCGAGCACTCCATATTTTATTAAATTGGCATGAATAAATGAGATAAAACGATAAATAAATGGATGAATAAAAAGCTTTAAAACAAGGAAAAAGCCTGAGTGTAGTATCCATTGAACAGTTTAAAAAGATTATGTAAAATCTAATCAAAAACGTGCCCACGAGAAAACCGGACAAGAGGTAATAAAGCTCAAATCACCGAATCCACCTCCTCGTCGCCAATTTGTAGTGGTCTAAAAGCGAAAAAGTATACCACAAAAGGCAGCCACGAGGGCGAACAACAACAGTACACACATTACACGTTCTTTAACAATCTTTCCGCGCTCACACTTCCCCGGATGTACGCTTTTACATATACAACCGCTGTCCTAGCTTACTACAAGACTATTGGCATGGGGCAATTTCAGACAGGTGGTTGCCTGACTCGCCGTCAATGTACTAGCTGTATACTGTTTCGAGCCGACGGGTGCTCATACAAAAAAACTAAAAATGTTAGCCGATACGTTTTGACTTGTCAAGCTTAATGTCTTGTGTGCTTATTTCAGCGATGGAAATAGAATTAAAATAAAAAGTAAAATTTGAATGGTTGAAAAAAATATTTGAAAAATTCCCTTTTTCAATGGTTCGGTATCCGTTAATCACTTTTATTTTTCTTTTAACATTACTGTAGGTCTACTGTGACATGACAACAGACGGTAAAGGTTGGACTCTTATTGCCCGATTCTCAAATTATGATGTCAAGAACTGGATGGCTGATACCGGATATTGGTGGTACGACAAGAAAGTTGCCACGGGAAAGACAAATAGTCCCTTCGCAAACGCTGATATGATCTCACCAGCATTTTGGTTGATCGGAGGAAGCGAATTTAAGATCACGCGCAGTGACGACTCCAGCCACACCCCTCTGTTACAGACCACAGGTAACTGTTTGGGTGGAAAAACATTTCGCTATAAAATCACAAGTTATGGCGACTTTAGAAATGGTAAATCCTGGGCCAAGGATCAGTGTCTGGGAAGTTGCACGGCTCAATATGGCGGACAGTACAAGTCAACACAGGGGTTTAAACAGGCTGAGTGCAGTGGAAACATCCAAAGCTCCCACAAGATCGGCTTCTGGTGTGACTGGAGTACTGGTGATGGATCAGTGATGATGATTGGTGGCGGAGGAAGTAGCTGTGAACGTGCTGATCATGGGATTGGAATCACAGAAACTGGCGATGCTTCTTTTATTGACTTGGGAGGCAGCGAGACTGAATATGACTTTGGTTATGATGCTAACAGAGGAAACGCTCCATCACAGTCCTATTCGTTCAACTTATGGATCCGTTGAAAATAGTCAGCTCTTCATTTTTGAAACTTAGTTTAGAGCTGAAGAACTTTTTAGAGGATGAATTTATTCATTTCACGTCACATTGTAGTTCAAGTTAGATGCAACGCTTTAATCTTTAAACATCCTATGATATGTATAAGCAACAAATTAATTGCCATAATGATTAGAACTCGTCGGGAAAATCCAATTTAGTAGAATTTATCCATCTTTTCAAGGAAATGTGAAGTATTCATTGATCATTGTTTAATGATGTCCGATATTAAATATGCAAGATATGTTTCATGTTTTAATCAGTTATTTCATCAAGAAATTTCTGAAGCTATATCGAGCACTACATGTTTTATTAAATTGGCAGAAACAATTAAGAGCAGATCCGTGCAAGAATCTAACAAAGTCGCAAATCCTCGGCAAAGCTGAAAAAAATCAAATTCACTCGTCTTTTGCATATAGATAGCCTTTATGAATGCCACGTAGTTTTTTCATTGAAATACCAGGTAATTCCTGAGCAAAACGATGGAAGCCGTTTTCAACTTGAGCACAATTTGGCGATCCCAAACACGTGCAAACTAGGTTGAAATCGGTGATGATTCACTTGACTCGCTTGTCAAAACTGCTGCGCTAGAATAAGCTGTCATAGATCCAATTTGTTGTATAACTTGTCATGGTCTAAACATTATGATTCCATAAACATTAGATTTATTTGAGTATTCAAGAGAAGTAAAGAAGTTCTGGTTCTCCCGTGCTTCGTAAAACGGTAGACGAAAAATAACGATAATTCTGAGCGTGTGCCTTTGTTTAGAATTTCGTTAGAT